GACTGAAATTGTAAACTTCAGTAACCAAGTCTAGAGTGGTGTTCTGTGTCTTTCCATCCTTCGAGATGTAGACGCGAATCCAGAAGGGCTCGCCGCCATCAAGTGCATATTTGCGGTAGCGAATGCTGAACGAATAATCGAGAGACTTGGTGCCATCCTTAAGGTACTCCACTCCCTTGATATTGCTGGCGGCATCGATCAATTGCTTTCTCGATACACCGTAAAGGTCGTTGATGGTCTTTCGGAGGTTTGAGATGAAGCTTTCGGAAGTGTAGCCTTCAGGTTTGTAGTTCCAGGTCTCCAATTCCGGGTATGTGTAGCCGAGCTTGTAAGTCCAGCGGACATCCTTGGGCTTCATGAGAGTTCCAGTGGTGTCTTTGTGGAATGGGCGCAACCCCGTATTCGGGGTAATCTCTGTACCATCGGGAAGGCCAATTATCTCTTGGAAGAAAGCGTTGACCTTGGCCTTCTCGAACCACTTGTCCGGGTTGAGGGCTTGCCACAGGGCAAAGATTCGATCGATGTTACTGGAAACTTGTTAGCAGTTGAGGACGGCACTGATGGAATGGACTTACCAATGGTGAAGCCAAAACATAGGATCAAATGATGCCACTGGAATCTGAGACATGTGTCCGTTGAGATCACCGCCAACCCAACCGTGAATGTTGTTGTGAACTGGAGATTGTCAAAAAGGACGTACAGGCGTCTACTCTTAAGGGTAACTTACTGTACTCAAGGTTGATGTCGTTTTGGACGTCCTGGCTATCGGACAATTGGGCCGTTGTTGCAAAGGTAGAATACTCCATGGGAAACCGTGAGCAGACGGTAGACCATCTCCGCAGGCTGACCGTAAGGAGAGTCGGCCAGCCAATGTGGCTTCTTCATTGCTTCCTGAACCTTGTAATTGTTCACCACACCGTACTTCCACGTATGAGTACCAGAGGCACTCTCACCCTTATCAGGCCAACGGGTAGTTCCAACACATTCACCGAACTGTCACAGTTAGAATAGGTTCCTAGTCTTGTAGAATTGGGACATACATAGAGTGTATCTCCGTGGTCGACCCAGGGGTCCTTGAAGTTATCAACGCCGACAGAGGACATGGGCTGGTTGTTCGGCATGCGGAATTGGAAGAGGGGGTTGGGGATGTTCTCTTCACCAGTACCATCCGAGGTCGGCACAAATACGTATGGGTACTTGCAAAGATCCGGAACCGAAGTAGTCACACCCCAGTCCCAGAAAGGCAGACGCCATCCATCAGCGGCTTCCTTCCACTCAGGGCGGATGTCCTCCGCAATACCAGGGACAATCTCCTGGCTCATGATTTCGTATAGACGTTGCTTAAAATCTATTAGCTCATTTCGAAATCGGGACATGAGTGTAGTGCATTACCTCGTAAAGTGCTAGATAAGCACGGTGCCAAATGGGGAATAGGATGTTGTTGTGAGTACAGTATCCTCTTCCCTCTGCATCCTTGGAGTCAATAGGCTCATCCCACGGTACATTGGGCTGCCCGTGGATTCCAGCAATTTGGAAGTACGAGTCTCGATCTTTGGGGTCAATCTTCTGGAAGCGAGACAATGCCATCACAAATAGCTTGACTTGCTTCTCGTTGGCAGGGTTGTTGCTCCATGAGTCGATTTCCTGACGGATAGGAACTTGAACCTCAGGACCCAACTTGGATGGCTCCTCGGAATTCACCGAAATTCCATTGATGGGGTAATACTTCCACTCGGTGGAGGTCATTTTTTGAGATGGCTTTTTCTGGGTTGGATTGGTATGAATAAAGTGTTTGAGAAGAAACATCTAGGGAGCTTGTCTAGCTTAGACATACTATTTATACTTAGGCATTCCTACTATGATATATACAAGTCACATTTTTTAGCCCTTTTATTTTATTTTCTTTTTCTTGGTGTGAGCAGTGACGAGCTGAGGTGATGGTATATCATGCATGCAGGTGCATGAGCTGAGGTGACGGCATAGCGTGCAGGTAGGTGCATGAACCCGGGTACGAACTATGGACTGGGGTAAAAGCATATATTCAGGTTGCACTCTGTACAGGTATGTACAAGTAGGCACATGTATCTCGAGTTTAGACCCTAAGCTTTTCCAAAATATCTGATTACAAGGTTTAGTTCGAGATAGCTCTATAAACAATTAGGGGAAACACGACTAGAACTATCATATTGTATATAGATAATAAAATATTTCTAGGGAAAAAAAAGGTCGGTCACAAAACACAGAGCTCTTTGCTTTTTCATCCAGCTGTTGTTGATCAATGTCTCTGGGCTCAGCGCGCCACTGCTCATGTGGCGCCAGCTGAATGATCTTCTCATGCAAAACCCACACACTATTGGTTTGCATCACATCAAGAGCCTTTGTGAAACTACTGCAGAAGATAGGACATCATCACGTCTGGATATGATCTTCCAACTCAAACACTAAATTGAACACCTTGGTCTCATGGCGATTACCCACTGGTCCATTTAAGTGGGTTCTTATACATATGCAAAGTGTCCTGTATATATATTTTATCCCTTGCAATTGATCAGTGAGAGTTGCAACCCTCTTCATTCGACGATTCTTTCGCGTTGAATTTCTTATTTCAATCTTCATGATGGATTGCAAGCCAGATCTATCACTTAGGCAACCAAGCCGCGACAGAACACGGTAGGAGTGACGACGAGGCTATGCGGAGAGAATAGGTCACATGAATGTAGAACAGAATCAGGCAAAATGACAGGTTATCGAGTTGAAGGCTAGCATCTCACTGAGATGTAGAACGAACAGGACAACCAATGTTTGAAACGGGAGAACTAGATAGGTCAAGTGAACTCTCTATAAGACTAATGTATCGTATCGCTCAAAAACAATCTCCGAAGCCCAACCATTCTCCTAAAAAAGCCATCTGCATAGAGGCCAGCTCAGCCTGATCTGAGAGTAAAAGTGGACGGAACTAGGACTTAGGTGCAGTTTGCGACCGGTAAAAGAAGAAGGTGGCGAGGACGGGTGTTCCTGTTGTTAGGCAAGGTTGCAGTGGCATATGATAGAGGGGACATCTGGATTGAGGGAAGCGAAAGAGAAACAGAGAACGAAGAGGGCGAGGTCATGTCTGTCTTTTAAGTTCGATTCAGGTGAGGAGTTTACATGATGGCGGATTAGGGCCGCTAAACCCAAAAGGGCGAGACTAACCGGAAAAGGAAATACACGATCGTGCAAATCAACCGGTTAATGCTTTTTTTTTCCCATATCGTATGTTGCATGTAGCCCCAGTAATATCCAAAGTAGAACAGAGCCGCATCTTGCACTGCATACCTACTAGGTATGTTATACCACTGGGAGCTTTTCCCTATTGACTCTTACTGCCAGCAGAAAATTGGCTATCTAGATTTTCAAGGTCATTATAGCTCAATAATTGATTGAATGAGAACTTGTAATGATGCAGGAAGCAGGTATTATGTATAAAAATGCTAAATGTCCGTCTAAATTGTGCTTCATCATGTCAGCGAGAAATTTTCCATCAGATCAATTGAACCATACAGATGTATAGAGTAGGTAGAAATTACTTATAAACGAAGCAACATCAAGAACCTGTGGATACTGTCGCCGTTGATCTGAATGGCGCAATCTATGATGGAATGAGCATCAATTCTCAACATTTCGGAGCACCTAGTATTTTATGTTGTTTGTCCGTCATATCTATACAAGTAGAACTTAATAAGATGTGTCCTCTACATAAATCTCTAGGCTTTGGTACTCATATGCATGCTATGAGAGGAATTTTAATGCAAGTTCAGTTGAGCTATGATAGCGAAGGAAGAGGAGAGAAACAGAACAAAACTGCAGGAACGATAAGCAACACGACAGCATCTACGACACATCGGGTTTGGATGTTTTGTTCTGTTGTCTTGATTGGAGAGATAATGGAGAAGCAGGAAGAAGAAGAAGCAATACAATCTGGTATTGGTCTGACAAGACTAGGGGAAAGAAGAGAGAAGGGAGAAAGAGAGGAAGAGAAGCTATCTAAGGGAAGAGGTCTGTCACCTCAGATCATCCGATATCCAACAGATGCTCATTTCCCATGAGCGATTATGTCTGGCTTAACATTAGAAGTATCCAAGTCTCTGACATCTATTGAGCAAAACCTGTTAGCAAGAGAATCCACTAAGCAAAGGGGGGGATTCTACCCACAATACCGACTGCTACCGCGCAGAAACCATCGTCTTGCTACAGAACGGGAAATTGCGGCGTCGCTGTAGGTTTGACTAACTACGTACAGTGACCTCGGGACGGGTCATAAATTTTAACACCGCCTGGCCCCCCGGGGCCACACCACTTGATTATATAATATACTGCCAGTTAAAACCCTCAATGAATTCGTACTAGTATGGCGTATACCACAACTGCCTCTCAATAATTGCTTCCATTAGGTACGGTATTGCCTCAAACGGATTCTCCGTCCTCAATTTGCACCACTTACCATTTTGGCTTGGTTTTTTAGGTAGGCGGTATAAACATATAATAGGCGGTGAGTTAGGTGGGGCCAGATGATGTACTAAAAAAGACCACTAAAAAGACATTTAAGAAGACTACCTAAAGAAACCATTAAGTTGACTACTGCCGGATAAGTGGCCGACTATATATTCTTATATTAGTATGTTCAAAAGGGATGCGGTATATAGGGCGGGAATATGTAGGTACAAAGGTTCAGCCCACCGACCCGTGGACTAATTACTTCGAAAAAGGCGGAGATTCAAGCGGTGAAACCTAACAGCCAATGGGACCAAATTCCCTGGCCACAGTCCGCGACGCATCTGCTGAATGTGCGGCATGGCCACTTTGCGTCGCCTTCGGTATCTTTGCTTCTCCCGTTCCTTTCTCTTCAACATCGCTTCACTTTCATATAATTCCTTTTCGTCCTGCATTTCTTGACTCGACTGACCCAGGCTTTCTCGCTGGCTCAGTCGCTACCACCTTATCTTTCCCGTTAAGACCTTTATATGCAACCAGAGCCTACTGCCGTATCTCAACATACACCCCCCGTTGACTCATACCCAGTCATTATTAGTCCCACCCAGCATGGACATGACCTCGACGACGCTCAAGTCTCTGATCTCCTCGACCGTGGGGAGATCAGAGACTCTGCAGACGTCCCGAGCATGTCGACACCAGACGGACCTGACGCGTCCTTGAACGAGGTTGACGGTCGCGATGCCCCGCTCTCGGTCGGTCAAGTGAGCCAGCATGAGAATGCCTGGACTAGCCGCAGAAAGGCACCAAATGCTGGATCTTGCATAGTGGCTTCTATTGGGCAGTCGCAAACAACTTTTGAGGCATTTCCAAATGGTAGGTATCCTGCAACCCCGCGGCGCAAATCATTACTGACTACCATAATTTCCAGAGGTTCTCACACATATCCTATCGCATCTATCACCTCAATCCTTGTCCGCGATTACATTAGTGTCTCGTCGATTTCATGCACTAGTGACCACTCCTCATGCTTGGAGAATCGCCTTCTCGCGTTTCTTCCCAGGGCCCCATGCTGTTGAGGATGGTCGGCGTAGCGATACCGATGCGGCAGATCTACAGTCGGACAGGCGTTTCTTCACGAGGCTGACCGCCCTAGCCTCCTGGCGTAGCGAATACATCTTGCGCACTCGCTTGATTCAATCGTTATCTCGGGGCAAGCCGGCGCAGTTCAACCCGTCTAAGAAGCATGGAACTGTACGTGCGGCAAGTACTCGCCATGGCAGTGCCATAGCGACGTATACATCACAGCTCCTCTTCCGGTCAGCCACATACACGCCTCTTTCAGGCCCGACAAGAACCCACTCTTCATCCATGGAGCGGCAGAGCAAGGAATTGCGTCTGCCAGTGACCCGTCGACCGTAAAAGTCGGCACCTGGGGTGTCTCCGACCACCAAATGTTCCGCCATTTTGCAGATATGTTCCCTGGCGAGACCCAATACGGCCTCGGGTCGGGTGATATAGTCGGTGTGCCCAACGTGATGGACGTCAGTCAACCATATGGCATGGTCTACGGCGAAGGCTGTCCCCAGGGCCGCAGCTACTTCATCTCAGCGACGGAGCAGCGTGGTCGTTTCTTGGGAGCTTCGGATTTGGGTTCCCACCCACCACTCGGCATACCCGCAGTCAACATGATCACACATGCTGTCTGTTCGGTGTGGATTGCGAAGTCCCCTGACATCCTCAAGATGACCCAGGGGCTGGTGGGGATGCTGTCTGGATCGTCTTCGGGCGTGTTGACCGCGTACTCTCTAGGCCCTCACCCGGCTTACGAAAGACGATTCGAGCCAGGTCAAGTGACTGCTAGATGGGTACTGTGCCCCGGTGTTCCTATTATTGGCATTGCTGTGGACGATCAGTACTCGATCAAGCGCCATTCAGGAAAACGAATTTGGGCTGTTGCTCTCAATGCCCTAGGAGAAATCTTCTACCTGACTGAACTTCCTCGGGCACCTGAGATCCCACTAACAGCCAAACTCAACACCGAGCAACTTGACGAGGTGGCTTGGAAGACGGGTAGAAGTGTGCATTGGGATATGGTCGAAGCGAGCAGACGTGTGGCACGCCCAGACCCCTTTAATCGTGAATTGGTCGATGGCAGCTACAGTCCGCAATCATCGTCGGATTCCATGGGGCTCAGTGAGCACCAGATTGCCGCTGAAACAAAGGAGATTGAAAAATTCATGTCTTTCAAGCCCAAGCACTTCCGCAAGGTCTGCGAAAGCTGGGACATGCAGCGCGATCTTAAGGTGGACTTTGCTGGCGATGACGGGTGCGGGGCAGGCGAGTCGGTCATTATCATCGCTCGCGGCTCGGGCGAAGATGCCAAGGCATCGATCCGGCGGTTTATGCGCACTGCTTCTAAGTCTGATTTTAGCTCTTCGGACACGCCAGAGCCCTTATCGGGTACACCGGAAGCTCCGCCATCACTATTCGGCGGCCCAATGAACATATCAAGTCCGACCGTCACCAGCAGTCTTCCCCCTTCTCGGTCCTCCGCACGGATGGGCTCACCTTCGGCCAACATCAGATGGCGTCTGTCGGATTTTGTTTTTGGTGATCGCAAATCTACGGAAGTGAGCACTAGTGCGTTGGATACATCCACTTTCGCTACACTCACAGCCGAAGAGGATCCTCTTTTGGCTATGTCTGGGAGCTCTACTTCGTCTGTAACATCATCCCCAATGTTGCCACATATGGATCGGCCGCGGTCGGGCCTAGAAGTTCCTGGGCAACGCGCTCGATACCTAGCTGTTGGAACCCGTACTGGGATGGTGTTTGTCTGGGATATCCGAGCTCCAGCGGCGAAGTCTGCGGAGATCATCAATTCCATCACCTCATTGCGCACCATCCAAACAGACTCGCCCCAGGTGTCTTCCGTGGCCATCACGTCGTTGTACCTTGTTCATGGCGGAAATGATGGCCTCGTGCAAGCGTGGGATCCGCTAGCATCATCCACCAAGCCAGTCCGGACGATCAACTCCCGGTTTTCGACTCGGGCCCGCCGTCGGCTTGTGCAAGCTGAGGCATCTATCCTAGGTGTTGGAAACAATTACTATGCCACAGGCGCTATCTGCCTTGATACAGACCCAACCGTTCTGCGTGGAATGGTCTCGCTTGGCACCCACTTGCGATACTGGTCTTACAGTTCTTCCGAGGCTGATCAGTACAAGAGCAACAAACGCCGCCTTCGCCACTTAATGCGTGGCAGCAACGGGGCTGGAGAAGGCCAACGCTTCAACAATAGTGGTCGGGGTGCGATCGAGGACTTTATTGAAGACGAACGCATAGATATGGAGCGTCAAAGGATTGCCGACGAGAAAGAGCGAGCCCACTTGAGCGCGCGTTTCGGAATCGACCTTCTTGGTCCAGATATCGATGAGGAGCAGCTTTTGGCGTATGCCCAGCTCCTGAGCGAGGAGGCATGCTCCGCCAGTGTGCCTAAACCCACGGACAGTGCCGCAGTCTCCAGCTCGGCTACAAGCACTTCATTCGATACTGTTGCTCCTAGTTCGGTCGGCTATGGCGAGATCTCATCCTCTTCGTCTCCCTATCAAGATCCCGCGGATGATAATATTGATGACGAACTTGCCGAGGCGATCCGTCTGAGCCTGCTTGACGAGCAATGTGCTGCTTCGCCCTTTGACCAGACGTCGTCTATTCCTATCAAGTATGCCAAGGGAGTACAACCGCCTCGACAGCCATCGCCTGGAGCTGAAGCTGAGAGCAGTAGACAGCAAGAGATGGATGATCTGGAGTTTGCGATTCAGCTCAGCTTAGCCGAGGGCAAGAGTCGTGGGCATGGTGAGGAGGTGTGGGAGGGAATTCCCATCCCTCGCCCCGGGGCCAGTACCTGCTTCACCGTCAGGCAAGGGCAAGGGGAAAGCCAGGGCTGTGTAGAGTGGATTTTGAGTTGTTTTGCATTTTGCATTTTGCGTTTTCATTTTGTGATGTACTACTGCTTAATGTTTTGTGTTTGCATTTGTATCAATTGAAACATTCCCGATGTTATGCTATTGACCAACCTTGCAAGCCGAGTATCCAATTATCCATGCACCTGGATGTTGCTTCGTGAAACGACACTGTCGCGTGGCTTAAAGACTTTTTGGTAGTCTTTCGAAGTCTTGTGGATCTCTTTCCGGGCGGTCTTCCAGATGTGTTCTTCATAGGTATAACCCCCCTCCTTGGGAACGGGTTGGGGTGGAACGTCTGTGACCAGCAGCAGCGTCAATGGACCGAAACAGCAATCCATGTTAGCCCAAATATAGAATATAGTGAAAAACGCGTGAAATGTGGTTTTGCCTCCAGGTCGGATATGAGGAAGATCTTGCGTCATGGCATGGGATTACCTACCTACATATACATAGCTACTTGATCTCCCCGTACTCATCACAGCCATGAACCACATGGATATCCCTCCAATTGATACTTGGGATTGTCTCTTCGAAAGAGAAGACAGACCCTTCCCAGATGACCACAGTACGTACATTCCCCCAATATCAAATCCGGATACTAACAGGCATAGTCATCTTCAAGTCGCCATCGGGCGAAGTCCGAACCTTCAACGACATTCGATCCCAAGCCGTAAGTTTCGGCGCCAATCTCCAAATCCAGTGGGAATGGCAAAAAGGCGATATCCTCTTACTCTTCGCGCCGAATGATATCGATATCCCCACGTTGTTTTGGGGATGCCATTGGGCTGGGGGAGTAGTCTCACCAGCCAACCCGGCATACACTGCTGATGAGTTGAAATACCAACTCAGTGATACAGGGGCAAAGGCAATGGTTGTACACACGTCGCTCTTAGACACTGCACTCACCACTGCAAAACGCATTGACTTTCCTATTGCGCACATGTTGGTTTTTGGCCCTCCCTCCTCAGAAGCAGAGCTGCAGCATGTCGAGTCTATGTTGGGAGGTGGAGCTCCTGGAGCAAGTCGTCCAAAGATAGACCCAGTCGTCGATACAGCCTTCTTGGTATACTCTTCCGGGACTACCGGGCGGCCCAAGGGGGCAAGGATCACTCATACAAATCTTGTGACGAACCTCATCCTGCAGGGACGAGCTGAAAGCCCACACATGAACTGGAGACAGGATCGGTTCCTGTCGTTCTTACCAACATATCACATCTATGGTATGTCAACTTTTGACGGAGAATCCTCATTTGCAGGCTAACCAGTCTTCTCAAAGGACTTACATGTCTAGTACATTTCCCTCTTTTGTTGGGAATAAAGACAATAGTAATGGAGAAGTTCTCCGTCAAAGGCTTCTTACACAATGTGAAAGCCGAATCAATCACCCACATCTACGCCGTCCCACCTGTTGTCCTGTACCTTGCCAAAGATCCCGCAATGACGCGCGAACATCTATCATCATTGAGAATGGTAACCTCAGCTGCTGCACCACTAGCACCAGATCTGATCCACGCTGTGTACGATCGTCTGAAGGTCCCAGTCCGCCAGGCATACGGATTGACCGAGTCGACGGCTGTCGCGCATCTCCAGGTACCTCTATCCGATGTATCCAATAGTTGCCAGCATGACTAACTTATTCAACAGAGATGGGACCAATGGGATAAAGCAATGGGATCAAGCGGTCCTCCATATCCCACAGTCGAAACGAAGTTCATCGACGACCAAGGAAACCCCGTAACGAAAGGCGACGGCGAACTATGTCTCCGAGGACCGACCATCTTCCCAGGCTACCATAACAACGCCGAAGCCACGGCACGGTCAATCACAAGCGATGGATGGTTCAAAACCGGTGATATTGGATTCCAAGACGAGGAGGGAAATCTGTTTATCACAGATCGTTTAAAGGACCTTATTAAATTCAAGGGTTTCCAAATTCCCCCCGGCGGAGATAGAGAGTGCCCTGCATGAACATCAGCTTGTGCATGACGCCGCTGTGATTGGACTTGCTGTTGAGAAGATTGCGACCGAGGTACCGGTTGCGTATGTGGTTCTTGAGAAGACGGATAAACCGGCTGAGCAGGTTGCAGAGGAATTGGTGGCCTACGTTAGTGGGAAACTGGCGCCTCATAAGAGGCTTCGTGGTGGGATTGTCCTGATCGATGAGATTCCCAAGGGTCCTGCTGGGAAGATCCTGAAGCGGGTCTTGAAGTCTAGGGCTGAAGGTGTCGATCAAGGGAAGGCTATTGGTGCTTCAATCTATGACGATCGTTCTTCCAAGCTGTGATATTTACAAGAGTAGAAATAAGAATGTCTGCATTTTGGCTACAAACTCCTTACAAATGTACACGCCATGCTTTGATGCTGGAAGCTTGAGAACACGAAAAGAAGAAGCAAGGACGTGAATTGTTTCAAGCGCAAATTAACAACTAATCACAAGAAAGCCGGGCAAAGAAGATACTAGTAACCCATACAGAAAATAGATCCTCGAGACCCGGTATCGGCCTCTTGGTCATCTCAGTTCGAACAGTGAAACCCAAGAATGAAATAATCACAAATCATCAAGGCCAATTACATAAGGGATGCAAGCAGCATGAAGAGACCTCCTGCACCACCAAGGGCAAGAGAGGGAGCGCCATTAGGAGATCCGGCATTGGTGGAGCTCTCGCTGGAGGAAGAATCGGAGGTACCCGAGGAACCCGAGCCGGAGGAAGAAGACGGGGTGTTGACACCACTCTTCACCTCAAACTTGACATCGGTAATCTCCTTGCCAGTGTGGTCATACACCTTCTGGGGGATGGTGGTGGAAGAGACAGAGACGAACTTGCCGGAGGGGGCATCGGGGAGACCGTTCTTAATATAGTCGGCGACCTTGGAAGGAACCTCGGGCAGATCCCAGGCGTTGTAGAAGGACTTGTCCTTGATAAGAGAGGCACTGCACGCCTCGGGCTTGACACTAGTCTGTGTGGCGTTGCTTGACGTGATGCGTTCCATATCCAGCTTGTTGACCTGCTTCTCGAAGTTATCATAGTCGACAAGAGTGGTCACGGTGTTGGAGTCGTTGACCTTGACCAGGCCGTAGTCATTGTCCTCCTGAGTCCATTCGTAAACGAGACCACCAGAGAAAGCCTGGGTCATCTCCTCGCCGTAGAGAGCCTGCACTTCGGTGAAGACACGGGGCTGGACCTCGTTGCAGCCGTACTCGGAGAAGAAAACGGGAACAGTGGCGTTGGTGAAGTCCTCGGTTAGGACATCGAAGCCGCTCTTCTTGAAGGAGGATTCACCGCACCAAGAGTAGGAGTTGAGACCGAAGAAGTCGGAGCGGGAAGAAGTCGAGTTCTTAAGGTCACACTCGAAGTAGTGAGCAGTATCCATCAAGATTTCACGGATATCGGCAGCAGAGTATCCAACGGGAATGGCGCGCTTCGAGTTCTTGGCGATGTAATCTTTCATATCACGAACGATGGCACGGACGTACTTGGGAACCAAGTAGTGAGCATCCTCGTTGATGACCTCGTTTCCAGCGAAGAAGCCCAGGACGTTGTCGTAGTTCTTGAAGCCCTCGATAACACCGAAGACCTGCTTGTAGTAGATGGCGCTGTAGGTGGTCCAGGGGGCGCTGCGGTCCAGGTAGCCACCCGCCAGCGGGTTGCTGACATCGAGAATCATGTAGATACCGGCGGCGTTGAAGATTGATGCGCACTCGTCGTGGTTGAGAGAGGGCTCCAGGTTGTACACACGGATGGTGTTGATCTATGGAAATAAGTGGCTGTACAGTAAGGAAGATAGGGTCTGGACATACACCCAGGCGCTGCATGAGGGCAGCATCACGCATGCAAACATCTGCATCACTCAAAGGGTCTAGCTTCTTGGTGAAGCCGGCTGCACCACCGGGCTGGTAGCTATTGAGAGGTCAGTCACTGTAAAATGTCAAGATACAGGTAAGCCTTACTCCACACCGATAATCTGGAAACGATCCTGGGTCTTGGAGTCAACAAAGTCCTTGCCGCTGACTTCCAGTGGGTTCAAGGCGGCCGCGGTGCTGGCGAGCGCACACACGGATGCGAAGAGTTGAGTGTAAGACTAGAAGTTCAGCTTTTGGTCATAGTAGGGGATATGACAACACATACGATCATTGTAAAACCAAGTGGGTATAGAAATCAACAAAATATGTAGAAAGACGATATAAAAGAGAATGGATAAGTTGATATAATAACGAGAGACAGCGCAACGGCGCGAATTGGGAAGGAACGACTGGAACGGAGAAGAAGAAAAGACGGACTCCCAAGGACTTTTAAGGCCTTTAATGGGGTTTAAATGGGTTAAATGGGTTAAATTAGTTAACTGCAGTAATTTCATAGAGAAAGTCAATTGATCAGCGGTCTCAATTTTGTGGAGACCGGCAGTCTGTGGACAAATAACACAAATAATAGGGGTCTTGGAGGGTCTTGGGGGGTCTTGGAGGTTTCACGTCGTTTCACTACTTAACCATAGTAGCATTACACAATTAATTATACGGAGTACCCTACTAACTATGTAGTTGCATTGATAAAATAAAAAACATGAAAGGTCCATTTCTAGTCTCTTTCCCACTGTTCTTCCTTTCCTCCCAAAACAAAACTTGTGGGCCAAGTCCGGCCAAGAATCCCGCTCAGGGCCAAGATGCCTTCAATAATGACTGCTTGGACGCCACGTCTGGGCAAACTGGGCTATCTGGGCTGTGTTGAAATGCGCTACATTCAGGGGTACTCCGTACAGAAATATCCAAGTCCCTCTTTTCTGTTATAAAGTTAGTACTCCATACTGAGCTCCATACTTCCTGAGCTATGCAAACTACGGAGTATTTTATAGTGGAGTTAGGGCTTGTACATTGTGGCCATGTTTTTCAGGCGTCAAACAGCCACCTGCCTAATTCAGAACTTCCTACTCTCTTCATACTTCTTTATCCTACTCTCGTTCAATATATATACATATATATATGTATATATCTCCAACCATAGCATTTCCAATGGTCTGGAATAAATCCGACCTGTAGAACTGAATAAGTCCTAGAATCAAGGCATGTCTTGGCACTGGGTTCTAGCACAGCGGACCTCGGGACATAGCTCGGTATGTCGCTCTACAGAGTGCCGGACCAATCCCGATTGAGAATAACTAACACTGCCTCTCTGGTCTGTTCCACTGGCATTCAATTCACTTGGCTTCTTCTTCTTCTTCTTCTTCTTCTTCCCATCCCACATGCAATAGCAACAGAAGACTAGAAAATGCACTCCATGCTAATACGTGTGGATATTCCTGGTCGCTCTAGTGTGCACAAAACAGAAGAATCACGGAATATCCTTCATATCACTACCAAATTATCTTTTACCATCGATGTTCGAAGATTTTGTTGCTAGGGTCCGAATGAAAAAGGTTCCTAAGAATGCGCCAGTCTATAGATGTCTTCTTGGGTACAAGATTGAAAGGCATATATACCTCACACGGAACAAATCAAAAGAGGAGAGGTAGCTTTAGATTGGTGGTATCTCATCTGCTCCATCTGATTGGGATATTCGGCAATGAACCGCCATCAATCCGTCCAACTTGGATAGTAGCTTTCATCCACATCCCTTTTGTTTTCCGCCTCCCCCACGGGGCTTGGCCAACGAACATAACAGTTCTCCGCGATATAAATTATGTGATACAAATTTGAGAAGTCCATCTAAAATACAAGTTGTTGAGTGGTCGGGTCCAGTTTCTTATTCGATGTTATCGTCAGGGCCAGCCTTGGCGCCGGTGGATTGACCATCAAGTGCAATAAGCTCGGCGAGAATCTCGAGGGTTTCCTTGGGAACGGTCTTGTCGTAAATTCCGATCAAATCCTGAGTAATCATAGCAGTTAGAATCATGAAGATGATGAATAGGTGATGTTGGAATGGCTTGTACTTACCTGAGGCTGGGGGTAAACCTTCAATGCTTTCCAAAAGGCAATTGCTGCTTCGACTTGGGAGCCTGGAGATTCAATTAGCGATCTGTTTATTCCAGTTTCGTGGTGTAACCGATATCTCGATCCCGTCTTTCGGAATCCAGATAGGATAACGATGGATGCAATTTACCTTCCGAGGCACAAAGAGATTCGCCCAGTGCGACTTGGTTCATAAAGAAGCTTTCCTTCTCTTCGAGATTTGTTGGGAGTTCACCGTTCTTCTTCACTTGTTCGAGCGCATTCTTGAGCTCTGCGAGTCTGGCTGCGGCGCCGGCCTCAGCCTCCTGTTTCACGCTTTGTTCGACCTTCTTGTTGTTCTTCTTCAGAGACTTGCGGAAGCTAGGGTCGCTTTGGCGCTTGTGATCGAAATAAACGGCGTAGGCTAGTACAAAGGGTTAACAATTGAAGAACGCGGCGACACGAATCCTACATACCGAGAACTCCCGTCAGAATCGTGCCGGCCACGATGGCAGTGTTTCGGAAAGCCATAGTAAAGATGTGTGATGAGATCGAATTAAAGGTGTAGGATTTGTCCCGGCCTAGCAGCTTATGGGGACTTGGAGAGGCGATAGTGGTAGAGTGATGGTTGGGTGATAAAAATGTTTCAAGGATGTCGAGATGCCCGGAGCGTATTATGTATTATATAATCATGCCCGCAGCCCGAGCGTCATCCCCTTGACCTCCCGCGACGTTTCCATACCTTGATTATTGCTACATTGCCAAGTGAAATCACCATGGAAGGCAGAGGATTGACTCTGAGGAGCAAGTCTCGTCGGCAGCGCCCTCAGATTAGCGCTCCCAAACCCATCTCCGGTCCTCTACCTCCCAATACCAGATCTCCCGAGTCAGGCCCATCCGCAATCCCCACACGTGAGCGGGCACCCCAGAACGATGCGACATCGGATTTGGTGAAACGGCGATACTCGACTCGGTTCAATAGCGCACCTGAATTTGATAACAAGGCTCCTCCTGTTCCGGCACTTCCAACTCAGACACCCGGGGGGCGCGGCGGGATTGGCACCGGGAGCTATTCCGAGAATACCATCACCAGCGGACCCGAACTCACCAGCACCGAAAGTCGACCTTAATGCTCTGCGAGATCCCAGTCTTCCAGTTGATCGATGTTAGTGCTCCCTGGGTTGCCGATTTGCGTTTGTTAAAGCTAACCAGGAGTTTCCGATGCTAGATGTGGCCAGTCTTCTTGCCAACGCGTCCGAGGAAGATATCCGAAAGTACCAAGAGAGCCTACGCAAAGTCAAGAACCGAACTTCCACCGATCTGCAGCAAAATGTCTACCAGAATCGCACCCAATTTATCAAGATCAGTAAAGAGGCAGAGAAGCTCAAGGATGAAATGCGAACCCTCCGTACCCTCATGGCGGAACTCACGACGGCACTTGGACAAACAAGCATAGGAAATTCACCTAATCCCATGTCACCGATGGAGGACTCTTTCCCCAAACGCAATGCGAATCGCAGCTCGGTCGCCAACCTCGAGAGCATGTGGAGCGTACAGCTACAAACATTGTGGAAAACAGTGGAAGGGTCGCAAAAGTGGCTTCCAGCTGCACCAGGACGACACATTGTCCTAGAAACTGGTAATTGGGTTGAGCTGGACTCAGCCACCTGGAAACCAAGACGCCCTGTTCACATTGTGTTGTTGAATGATTACCTACTCGTGGCTGCGAAGAAGCGTAAGCGGGTCGACCAAAGTCACCCCAACCACCGAGGACCTGTTCCAACGAGGCTAGTGGCAGAAGATTGCTGGCTTCTTAACGATATTGATATGATTGATCTTGGAGCCAACTTGGGAACGGGTCAAGCGCGGGAAGAGGCTTTGGATCGGGGCATTGGGAGGTCGATCAGCATCCGCGTGGGATCCAAGCCCTTTACATATCGCCATGACGACGCTTCCGCGAAACAGGAACTTTTGGCAACTTTCCGCAAGGCAGTCGAGGACCTGCGTCGGACCATGCGCTCGGAGACCGAAGCTGCCAGCAAGCCCTTAGAAGCGTACGGATATATGGCTGGTCGGCACCTTTCCCTTTCGAAAAAGCCGGAGTCTTTCGACCTCTCTGATACCCCGAGAGATAAATCTGATCTGCGCATTGATGTGGACGGGAAACAGCAGAACCTCCGCTGGGTTGAAGGTCAGGTCGACGAGCTTGATATCGATATTGCGCTTCAGCGATTCGAGGCTTCTGTGTTCAGCATCGAGCGACTACGAAAATTGGCCAAGGGTCTCAAGGGCAACACCATTGCACAGGATGTCATTAATTTCAAGGTCGACGGGCGAGCGACTCGGCTTGCTGGCATTCTTTCTCGGGCATTGGTCGATAACCACTCATTCCCGGTGGCTACCAAGACTCATGTTACCTGGTTGACTCGGTTAGGATTTGAGGATCAGGCACGTGAGACTTACCTGAAAGCACGTTCGGACGTGATCGGTCAACGCATCCGGTATGTTCTTCATCTTCTATCACACATGCTTATGTTCACATGCTGACTTATTTTCCTAGGGCTTGTATCTTTGAGGGTGATCTGCCTCTTTACATCTTCCAGATCTCCTACGTCTACTTTACTCTGATCAAGAACACCATCGGTATCTATCAACAATGTTTCCCTAGTGTAATGAGCAGTTCCTGCATTCGCTGGGCCAAGCACCACCTCGACGGGTTCAATGCTTTGCTCAGCCGACAGCTCAGCAGTGTGCAGCGTGGCACATCTGTTTGGCAGAAATGCCTCGACATTGTACACGATCATGTCGCTCTCTTAGTTGAAGTGGGTGTTGATTTCACAGATTTGGTAGCTCGTGGACTGGAAGACAATGGCGAAGGATCGCTTGACGGGCCACGCACCGTCCAACCGGGCGAGCTGGCACAAGCACCCACCCCGGGATCTATGCTGTAGTTGATTGTGAAATATTGAATGCCGATTAGCGACCTTGATTTGGAATTTACTCTATGATTACGTTTAGGCAAAACAAATACTTAACCTCCTATGATCTCACCCTAAACCCGAGGCAGACGGAGATAACATGCTATCCCCGACTTGCTCCCATGACCCTTGTTTCGCGCATCACTCACCGTGAACTCCCAACAACCATACGAACGATGAAGGTCATCCTCGCAGGTTCAACGGGGTTCATCGGCCGCGAAGTCTTATCGCAATGTCTTGCACATCCTGCGATCACCTCGATCGTAGCGCTCACCCGACGAGAGCTACCAGCACATGAAAAGCTCAAAGTCACATTAATTGAGGATTTCACGACCTACCCTGACTGGATCCGGAATGAGATTCGAGATGCCGAGGCATGTATCTGGTATGATCCCTGCCCAAAGTCTGTCTCAGGGCGATATTGACTTCTCTTCCATGTAGGACACTGGGCAAGGCGCACATGCCTAATAATGATATCGCTCGACAAGTGAGTCTGGACTATACTCTTGCAGCAGCTCAAGTCTTCCAAGAGACGTGCCAGAAACCGTTCCGGTTCATATACTGCAGCGGTGCGGCGGCTGAGAGGGATCAGACTAAGCCGCTCTGGTTTATGCAGGAGTATCGGCGCATTCGGGTACGATAATATCGATTGAACTATGGTAATTTCACTGACCAGTTGTAGGGCCAAGTTGAGAACGAGCTTTTGGGATTTGCTGGTGATCACCCTGGTTTCGAGGCTCATATCATGCGCCCGGCTATGGTGTTGGCCCCGGGTATGAGTCTACACAGTCTTGTGATTGGTCTTGGGCCATCGGTCAAGCTGGATGATTTAGCTCGAGCCATGCTTGAGCTGGTTTTGAAGGGTGGGGGGAAGAATATATGGGAGAATGCTGATCTCAACCGTGTTAGGTGAAGATTTAAGAGTTGGGTACAACATTATGAATATAGTTGGATTGAGTAATTGATTTTCATTACCTAGGTACTATTCTACTTTTGAATATATTAACTGTTCTGTATAATTGAACTATTCATATTGTTCTATGTATTTCTCACTCAAATACTCCACAGGGGCGTTTTCTCCGCAATCGGGTAAATTCAGCCCTGGGGGATCACGTATGTTCCTCAATTTCTTTTTACCCCTCTAGTTTCTTATGCCTACCTTGCCTATTTGATTTATGTTAAGAGTCGAAGTGTCCAAGTGTCAAAGAATCAAAGAGTCAAGAAGTCAAATCAAATATGCCAATCCCTTCGCTACCCCTCTTCGCCGCAGCGGAGCAACATGCGCGCCAGAATCCCGAGAAGATCGCGGTCATTGACACCACCAAACAGCAATCTTTCACATTCGTTCAATTGCTGGCCGACGCAGCAGCGTTAAGGAAACGCATAATTGAGCAATTGGGATTATCGGATGACCTGGAAGAGCGACGCATTGCTTTCTTAGTCCCGAATGGATATGACTACGTTGCTACGCAATGGGCCGTGTGGGCGGCGGGAGGTGTCTGCGTTCCACTTTGTAGGTGGAAATCATGAAGCGCAATGTAAAACACTTGTATTCAGTACTGACATTTGCTAGGCATAAGCCACCCAGTGAAAGAACTGCTATACACCGTCGGAGATTCGGACCCCTCATTGATTATCGTGCATCCGGAGTTCGAGAAGGTCGCACCCTCGCTGCGCGAAGGCTGCACCACCGATATACCATTCATAGGACTGGAGCCATTTTCTCGAAATGAGACCCCGACTTTACCTTCTTTCTCCCCACCGTTTGTGCTCACTCGCCGCGCCCTGATGATCTATACCTCTGGAACCACATCAAATCCGAAAGGCTGCGTGACAACACACGAGAATATCACTTTCCAAGCGAGTTGCCTGGTCAAGGCCTGGGAGTACAAACCCTCAGACCATCTTATCCACGTGCTGCCACTCCACCACGTCCACGGTATCATCAATGGCCTAGCTGCCAGCTTCCTAAGTGGTGCAACAGTGGAGATGCATCCGAAGTTTGATCCGAAGGTGATCTGGGAGCGGTGGCAGGACCACGGCTCCTCGACCTTGTTCATGGCCGTGCCGACCATTTACTCCCGTCTGAATGACTACTTCGATGCTCATATCCGCGGCACGGAACAAGAGAGTGCAGCGCGTGCTGGAGCTCGTGCTCTACGACTTGTCGTCAGTGGATCTGCGGCCCTCCCAACGCCCATTAAAGAAAAATTCGCCGAAATCACCGGCCAGGTTCTATTGGAGCGGTATGGAATGACCGAGATCGGCATGGCGCTCAGTTGCGGGCTGGAGATTCAAAAGCGAATCGACGGTAGTGTGGGGTGGCCGTTGCCCGGCGTGGAGGTGCGACTGACCGATAAAGAAACCGGTCGGGTTGTGGACGGAGTGGACGAGGACGGCATGATCGAGATCAAGGGCGGGAATGTCTTCCGCGAGTACTGGCGGAAACCGGAAGCGACGGCCTCGGAGTTCACGGCGGATGGATGGTTCAAGACGGGTGATGTGGCTAAACGCGATTCAAGCGGTGCATACTTCATCCAAGGCCGTGCTTCTGTTGACCTGATCAAATCTGGTGGATATAAGATTTCGGCGTTGGAAGTTGAGCGCAAGATGCTGGCCATTCATGCGATTCAGGAAGTTGCAGTGGTCGGGTTGGCTGATCAAGAATGGGGACAGCGAGTCGCTGCCGTTGTCAAGTTCCGAGAAGGGGTATGTTTGTGTTGTGTCCAGAAAACTGCTTTATTTGCCTAGCTAACACTGACATAGACTACACCGATGGAACTTCCCACTCTACGAGCTGAGCTCAAGAATGAGATGGCTCCTTATAAGATCCCAACCGTTCTGAAGGTTGTGGATGGGATCGAGCGCAATGCTATGGGCAAGGTGAATAAGAAGGTCATTGTACAAAAGTACTGGCCGGATAGGGCATGAGTTGAGGAAGGGTAAGAGATATTCAAGTCAATTAGCGAACATACACTCTACTGTAGATTGAACATAGACATGAGAAAGCGAATATACCAAATATAGATCATATCCTTCTTCAAAGTGATTCCTAACAGTATAGACACTTTAATCATCATTTCGCCTAAATTTTCTATAGATTCCTAGTTGATATAAGGACTATACTTCAAGGCCTGAAAACACGCAATATCTATGCCGCTCGCCGATCTTCAGGTGGAATCCGATCTCGTCATCTCAACCCCAATATTGCTCATTTCCTTCTTGTTTCCCCTATATCGATGATCTTATTCGCTATCTCCATGGAAAAATGTTTTATTGCGGGGGATAATGGATGATGTGCTTCATGTTATATATTTCTCATATCCCCCTCCCTCCATATATCATAGCTCTAATTCAACCCTCATTTAAATACCGACTCGCCTCTAAGCCACTATGACTACATCAGAAAAGCAGGATGTGCGTATTGGCACCGGGAGCGATGCCAGTGCTTCAAGTATCAATGGCATCAACGAGAAGGCCTTGTTACGGAAACTGGACTATCGTCTTTTACCACCACTCACGTTACTCTATTTACTCTCGTTTTTGGATCGCAGCAATGTGGGAAATGCCCGTCTAGAAGGAATGACGACCGACATCAAGATGTGTATGTTTGTATGTTTTGAGTGTTTTATATCGATCCCAGGGCTAATTGGGAGATACATAGCAGGAAACCAGTACCTTACAGGTTTGACCCTGTACTTTATCGGCTATGTTCTTTTTGAGATTCCTTGCAATGTGAGCAATGTCTATTAAAAATAATATCCTGTGCAAATGATCATATACTGAACAGCTGCATTCAGATCATCTTGAAAAAGACAACCCCGAGAATATGGCTTCCCACCCTCACGCTCGTCTGGGGAATAGTCGCAACACTCCTGGGAGTAGTACAGAATTACTCTGGATATCTGTCTTCACGATTCTTCCTGGGCATTGCAGAGAGTGGACTGTTCCCCGGTGTGGTGTTTTACCTGTCTATGTGGTATAAGCGGAACGAGCAACATTATCGCGTGGCTCTGTTTTTCAGTGCTGCCTCACTGGCAGGTGCCTTTGGTGGAGTCCTGGCTTGGGTTGGTTTTCCTCTCCCGATAGAGATAAACACAGCTGATGATTGTCTAGGCAATTTCTCACATGAGAGGGGTGGGAAACTTGAATGGTTGGAGATGGATCTTCATCCTAGTACGTCCCGATCAACCATGTCATTCTGTTATACACAAGCTTACAACCAATTTAGGAAGGGCTGTTGACCGTCGCTGTTTCGATCATCGCCTATTTCTGGGTATACAACTACCCCTCAACAGCGGAGTTCCTATCAAAGGAAGAGAGGGAGTTCATCCAATTTCGTCTGAAGAATGACAGCGATGCGACTCGGGATGAGGAATTCACCTGGTCGGCAGTACGAGACGCATTCAAAGACCCCAAAGTCTGGCTATACGGACTCGGATTCCACACGATGTCCTTGCCACTGTATACCTTATCACTCTTCCTTCCGACAATCATCAAAGAACTCGGGTACTCAGCGGCAAAGGCGCAACTACTTTCCGTGCCGCCGTATGCAGTAGCATTCTTCCTGACTATCGGGGTTGCGATTGCATCCGAGAAGACTCGCAGCCGCGCCCCGTTTATCATGGGATCGTCTGCCGTTGGATGCATCGGATACATTCTCCTGCTATCACAGCACCGTGCGGGCGTGTCTTATGTCGGAACTATCTTCGCTGCCGCAGGGATTTACCCGGCTGTGGCTATTGTGCTGTCTTGGCCTGCTAATAATGTGTCTGGGCAGACTAAACGTTGCATTGCCAATGCCATGCAGATCTCAATTGGGAATCTGGGTGCGGTTCTTGGAACACAGCTATACCGTACTGAAAGTAGCCCGCGGTACTTTTTGGGTCATGGGTTTGCGTTGGGATATCTGGTTGCCAACATTGTGGTGGTTGGGATCCTATGGGAGATTCTGCGACGGGAAAATGCTGAAAAAGAGCGTGTTAGGGAAGCCCATGGATTGAGGCCGTTGATGGGAGATGTGGGTGATGCAGAGGGAGAATTCCAAGGGGATAAGGATCCTCGTTGGATATTCCAGACTTGAAAAGGTCGGACTCAGATGAATTCGTGAAATGTATTGCCAGAGTGGGTATATAAAAATGCAAACAGTCGCCAAGTCCCAAGTCCCAAGTCCCAGAAGATGCCAAAAAAGGAAAAAGAGAAAGGAAAAAATGCCAAAAATGCCAAAACCCCCGAAATCGCCCGAAACGACCCGACATACCCCGAAATACCCCAAATGACCCAAAACGGAAAACACGCAAAACACGACGCACACATAACACACATAACACATAACACATAACACACGTATATCACACACATAATATACACACATAGAAATATAGACATACACTGAACGGGACCGTCAAATGAAACGGAGATTCATCTAATCTATACAGCGATTTATTCACGCTGCGTACGGAGTATCGAAAACATAACTTTTCAAACAGGAAAAACAAACGTCTCGCGTAAATCCATGGCTTGAATGCCCTTTTCCCAGATGATTATAATGGCAAAAGAGTTTTATATTCATGGCGCCAAGACGAGAGCAAGGAGAGCCATGCGGCAGTAGAGGCCGTAGCGCATCTAGAATATAGTTAGTATATTGTTCAAGAAAGCAGGGGGGGGATTCAAAACATACCTGGCGGAAGTAAGCAGCCCGCTGGTCGAAGTCGACTTCCTCAGAGATCTCGGCGTTGCGAGGGAGGGGGTGCATGACAACCATGTGGCTCTTGGCGTGCTTGAGCAGAGCATTGTCGATGACAAAGGTGTTCTTGAGACGCTCGTACTCGGAGAGGTCGGTGAAGCGCTCCTTCTGCACACGGGTGGAGTACAGGATGTCGGAGCTGGCGACAATCTCGGGAGTCAACTCCTCAGACTCGACAACCAGCTGGCCGGAAGCAATGATCTGCTGGCGGACATCCTCGGGGAGAGCGAGGGCCTTGGGGGCAACAAGCTGGATGCGGACATCGTAGAACTGGAGCAGCTTGATGAGGGAGTGCACGGGGCGGCCGAACTTGAGGTCACCAGTGAAGGTGATGGTCAAGCCGGTGACAGTGCCCAGCTCCTCGCGGATGGTGAACAAGTCCAGGAAGGCCTGAGTGGGGTGCTCAAGGGAGCCATTGCCACCGTTGATGACGGGGACCTGGGAGTACTTGGCCGCGATCTCGGTACTGTTCGAGTTGGGGTGGCGCAAGACAACAGCGTCACCGTAGCAGCCGAGAGTGCGGATGGTGTCCTGGAGGGTCTCGCCCTTCTGGGTAGAAGAGTGCTCAGTGGAGATGGGGATGGTACGTCCACCGAGGCGCTGCATGGCAGCGTCGAACGAGGCCGAGGTGCGGGTAGAGGGCTCGTAGAAGAGCGTGGTCAGGACACGGCCCTTCAGGAGGTCAAGAACACCGTGGCGCTGGACACCAAGACGCATCTCCTGAGCGACGGTGAACAGCAGGTGCAGGTCGGCGCGAGAGAACTGGTTCACAGAGAGGATGTGCTTCCCGCGGAAAGGAGAGCGGGAGAGCATATCAGCCAGCGAGGGGGAGATCTGCGAGGAGGGGGCGTAGAGGGGAGGACCAAGTTCACCGACACTGGGCACAGCGCTGTCCAGGGCACGGAAGCGGCGGGGAGTGCCATTGATAGAGCCGTGTCTATCGAGGGAACTGTCGGGACGGGCCATGGGGGTCACGGGCTTCTGCACAGGCGAGGTGGGAACGATGCGGTGAGTGGACATGTCGGCACCCTTGGTGGCATCCTTGGTGATCTCGCCGTCGAGGCAAGAGGTCTTGCCCTGGAAAACGACACGCTGAACAGAGCCACGCATCATCTTGCCGTTCAACGGAGACCAGGCGTGGGGGCTCTGGAAAACGTAGGGGCGGTCGACCTCGACCTCGAGTGAGCTGTCGACCTGGTCGTGCAGCTCGAAGATCTTCTTGGGGTTGTCATAGAGGCGAGTGGTGACGTCCTCGGTGGTCAGGCGGCCCTCTGCGACAGCAGTGAACAGCAGAGGAATAGACTCAGCGATACCGGACTCGGGGGTGGCCTCCTTGCCAGCGAGCTGGAAGGGAATGCTGCCAATGGAGAAGACATCGATGGTGCTCATGTGATCCCAGAGAGCCTTCTGGTCCTCGGCGGTGGGCAGGGAGCTGCAGGCCGGGTACTCCTCGCCGGTAAGGAAGAGGGAGTAGATGGAAACATCGCAGGTCACCTTCAGGCCCTTCTCCTTGCTCAGAGCAATCAGGCTGATATCCTCCTTGGAGCTAACACTCATGACGTGAATGTTACGGCTGTGAAGGCTGGCCAACAACAGAATCGAGGCAAGATCAGTGCTCTTGGCATCAGTGATCAGAGGCTTGTTCGAGGGCCAAGAGCTGAAGTGGTTGGTGACAGTGGCCACCTTGTTGATGTTACCCGACAGGTGGTTGAAGGGGACGAAGAGAGAGCCAACCTCACCAGTCATCTGGATGATCTGGTCCGAGTTGGTGGCAGTGGCAGCAACAGAGATGTTGAAGTCGCAGAGCGACTTGCCCTGTGCGTTCTGCTGGACAATCTTCAGGTCGCGGGACGAGGTGACCGAGCTATCAACGCCGACCGGCATCACACGGATCATGCTGAAACCGCCTGAAATCGAGGCCTTGGAAACAGCCTCGAAATCCTTGGAACCCGCGGAAACGAGGTTCGGGACGAATGCAGCAATGTTGATCAGACCCGGAAGGACCACAGTGCGGTGGCTAGTCTGGTAGTCGGCGGGGATGATGTTCAGAGGGAAGTGGCGAGCAATAGCCTCAATCAGGATCTTCGCATTCTTGACGTTGGTGACAAGAGGAGTCTGGTAGTCAACAGCCATACGACGAGTACGGTAACCCTTGGACATGTAGTTGGCGGGGCGACGGAAGCGGTTGTTGGACGGCAAGTTGACGTACAGATCGATGAGGTTGTTGGACAAGTGCTGAGTGAGAGAGTACTCAGACTTCATGTCCTCCTCCTCGTGGTCCGGAAGATGCTCGAGGTACTTGACGGGCACACCGTTCTCCTTGAGGAAATCAGCGGTACCAGCAGTGGCGAACAGGTTGTAATCGAGATCGTGCAGCTTCTTGATCGAGGGCAGCATCTCGAGCTTCTCCTTGTAGGAACCAATGGAGAAGAGGATGTTGCGGCGCGGCAGACGGAATCCAGTGGACAACAGAGCCTTCAGGTAGGCCTCGTACTTGTCACGACCGAACGAAGCGACCTCACCAGTAGAGGCCATCTCAACACCCAGGACGGGGTCAGCACCGGACAGACGCGAGAACGAGAACTGGGGGACCTTGACACCGACGTAGTCCTTGGGAACGGACACAGGGGGGGTACTCCTGGAATGGAGCTCCAATCATAGCCTTGGTGGCCATCTCGATCAGGTCAACACCCATGACCTTGGACACGAAGGGGAACGACCGCGAGGCACGGACGTTGCACTCAATGACCTTGATGTCATTATCCTTGGCAATGAACTGAATGTTGTAAGGACCAGTAACGTTCAGGGCATTACCAATCTTCCGGGTAGCCTCCTCAATGCGACGGACAGTCTCAGCGCTCAAATCCTGGGGAGGCAGGATGAGAGTAGCGTCACCAGAGTGAACACCAGCGTTTTCAACGTGCTCGGAGATGAAGTGGCCAACCATAACACCGTTAAGGGCAACAGCATCCATCTCAATCTCCTTGGCGTTCTCAATGTACTTGGTGATAACAACGGGGTGCTCACGGGAGACATCGACAGCCTGGTTCAAGTAGCTGGCCAGATCGTGCTCGGAGTAGACAGTGTTCATAGCAGCACCAGAGAGCACGTACGAGGGACGGACCAGCACGGGGTAGCCGACCTTGTCACAGAAATCGCGGGCCTCGTCAATGCTAGTCAGCTCCTTCCAAGCGGGCTGATCAACCTCAATGCGATCCAACATGCGGGAGAACTTGTAACGGTTCTCAGCACCGTCAATCATCTCGGGGGAGGTACCCAGGATGTTGACATTGAGGCGGTGAAGAGGCAGAGCGATGTTGTTAGGGGTCTGACCACCCATAGACATGATCACACCGCTGGAAGTCTCCAGCTGGTAGATGTCCAGAACAGTCTCCAAGTTGATGTTCTCGAAGTAAAGGCGGTCAGCCTCGTCGTAATCGGTACTGACAGTCTCCGGGTTGTAGTTGACCATGATAGTCTTGTGGCCCTGTTCGCGGAGCGTACGAATGGTACGCACGGAACACCAATCGAATTCGACCGAGGAACCGATACGGTAGACACCAGAACCCAGGACCATGATACCGTGATCGTCGAAAGACAGATCATGCTGAGAAGCATTGTAGGTAAGGTAGAGGTAGTTGGTCACGGCAGGGAACTCGGCGGCCACGGTATCAATCTGCTTAACAATAGGAGTGATACCAGCCTCAACACGCATGCGGCGCACAGCAAGCTCGTTGGAGTCCAAGAACTTGGCGAGCTGGCGATCGGAGAAACCAAGCTGCTTGGCCTGGCGGATCATAGGCACAGGCACGGAGGTAGCATTGAAGGCGGACATGGACTTGCCGAAGTCGCTGAGGCCCTTGAGGCGGCTGAGGAACCACTTGTCAATGTTGGTGAGCTTCCAGATGTCATCAACAGTGTAACCGGCGGCCATGGCATTGGCAATGGCAAACAGACGCTGATCAGAGGGAGTCTGGAGCTCGCCCTTGATGGACATGAGGGCATCAGACTCGTTGAAACCAAGGTTGTGGAAATCAACCGAGCGAATAGCCTTCTGGATAGCTTCCTCGAAGGTTCGACCAATGCTCATAACCTCACCGACACTCTTCATGGAGGAACCAAGCTGAGTAGACACGCGAGTGAACTTCTTCAGATCCCAACGAGGGATCTTGACCACGCAGTAGTCAAGCGAGGGTTCGAAGCAAGCGCAAGTGGACTTGGTGACCGAGTTCTTAATCTCGTTCAGGGGGATACCAAGACCCAACTTGGCAGCAATGAAGGCAAGAGGGTATCCGGTAGCCTTGGAGGCCAGGGCGGAGGATCGAGACAGACGAGCG